TGAGGGGATAGGAATGACATCTGGGTTAATTCACCAACTGCCTTACCCATTTTTATACTCAAGTTTATATGCCTGTAGTTACCATTGACCAGTTTAATATTAATAATGATATTCAATAGATTCGTTCCCCCATTTAGGGGGAAATGCCCCCCCCCCGAATTTAGCTATTTTCAGATTAGGGAGGGGGAATTCGGGATTTTTGAGGGGAAATCCCCCCCCCCATCCCCCCTGCAAAATACCCCTGAAAGAGTTAAATATAGGAAAAATGTTCATTAACCCATTGAGTCGCATTGCACCCTGATGCACCCTACTTTAGTATTTTACTCTGTCTAATGCCAGACGATATTACTCGTCAAGGGGAGAGCGCTGGCGCTTAATGGGTTAATGCCATAGAGGTGGACAATGCATGTTAATTTGTAAATGAGATGCATTTCATGTTTTACATGACTCGATCATTTCATAACCTAGCAGTGGGAAATATGGTTTTAAAAAAGTGACCTCTGGGAATCAGTATTATAGCAAAAGAGTCCTGTAGGAATATGAAGCATTCATTGACTTAACCAGACTATTAAAAACAAGCGAAAACGTGTTATTGCCTGATATCGTCCCTGGTTGCCGTGAACAAACAAACTTCAAATGGACATGATGCTAATCAGGCACTGAACATTTTTGAATGCGACCGACGGTATATATTATCCGAATCTTGACCAGATTTGATTTCAGTGTATTTTCTGTCAGTGGTATGCTGGCTGGGGGGGGGGGGGCATGACCTCCCAGCTGGCAATCCTTGGAGGGCGCAAAAATGAAAAGGGGGCGCCGATCCCGCGCTGAGTTTTGAAAGTGGGTGGAAAAAAACGCATTTGAAAAAATATAGTTACTTCCGCCAAGAAAAGATGTGTTTATAGGCTTATAAACAGACTAAGTGCATAGACGATTTTGTCTAAACGTATTTGCTAATTTGCTACCTCTCTGCCCACACAAAATCGTTCATATAGAAACATGATCAGTGATCACACGCAATGTCTCATTACCGGAATATTGGTCAGGTTTCGAAACGATCGCTGGAATTATGCCCTTTTCTCTGGTATTATGCCCTTATATTTATGCCCTTTATTATGCTTCACGAATCACGAAAGCGGCGCAAATTAGATAGTTATGATAATGTAAAGTTGTGTACACAATTTAGTTGTTTGTGCAAGAAACACCATGACTCATGAGTAATGTAAGTATAATAAAATAATGTTGAAACGCCCCCTTTTGGCAGCCATGCAAGGTAACCTTAAAATGCATATGCGTGGGGTCCGGGCGTTATTGTATAAAAGAGCTGTAAGTTTTAAATGTATTCAGATCACTAGATCAGTAGAGAATAGAATTGCGATTAGATTAATCGCTGGAATTAGTTAGCATTGCCCAATTTAAGTACTACTGCTACTAAATTCTAACCAAATTTCAAATTTCAACACGTTATATAGTGACGTTTCCTGATCATCAGATTTCTGTCAAACCTTCCCCCGAAAGTCCAGGAAATGCCATTTCAGAGACCCTAAATTCAAAAAAATCCGAGGGGGCATGCCGCCGGACCCCCCTAGAGAAACCTCGTACCTGTGGCGCTCGACTCGTGCCTTCGACCTCGTTTATCAAGCGTTACAGTATAGGGGCGCATATTAGTTGACAGCCCACTCCCCCCTCTCCCCAGGAAAATAGTACCCAGTACGCCACTGTTTTCTGTTTAGAATCGTCAAGATGAATTGAGACAAACCACTAAGATACGCCAAGGGACTACCGAAGCTGTGAATAAAATTGAGGTAACTATATTTTTTAGTTTTGTCCAAGTGCAATATCATCTAGGATTCTAGCTCTTCTAGGCAAATCCTTTCCCTAAATCTGACATCGGCAACAACAGACGTAATAGTTTGTAATTGTGCCACAATTGGAAATTATCAATTACCGATTATTCATGCAACAATGTACCCAATAGGCAATACCGATTCTATAATGACGTCCTAATGTCAGTCGACCGAGTAATTAAACACTGGAAATTGTTTTCAAAATCCTTACTGTGGAAATAGTATGGATCTTAGATGAAAATAGTATGGAAATCCAATTTCAATACTTATTGCAATTTCCATACTATTGGTATAGTACGGAGATAGTATGGATTTAGTGATGCAATTGCAAATTCCATAGTAAAAATTTCGCTATTTTTCCCAGTAAAAGATAAGAAATATCTCGAAAACTGATATCGAAAAAGTGCAAAATAGATTGCATGACATGCAGTTTTTATATATATTTCTAACAAGATCAACGTACGTGTTGTTCTCTATGTCAGGACTGTGATAATTGATGATTTTTAGCTGTACAGTACCTCACTACCATAACGTGAAACGTATTATTTCAGTCACGTCAAGCTATGAGTTAATAATTAGCCAAGGAACATAATTATGGATACAAACACACACAATCGATTCCAACTAATTCCTCAAGACATTTTCCCACTCATCACAAAAACCAACTCGTAAGCTCGCTGCGAGTGTTTGCATCTAATTAAATAAACTGTCGAGCATTGTGATTGGATGAAAGTACTCGCAGGGAACTTGCGAGTTGAGCTTGCGAGTTGAGTCTTCCAGGCATGCGAATTAGTGCCCATGCGCAGACGATGCGCGGCATGAATGACTTTGGCTCATAAATGTTGCAACTCAACAGACAACACGTGTATTTATAAAGTCATTTTGCTGGATAATATTTTTACATAAATTTTCAAACTCTGCAATTGATCAACTGAATTGACACTATACCACTGGTTGTGAACGTTGGAAATCAGCGATAATAAAGCTTGAATCTAAAATCTGCGAATGGAAAAAGTCAATCGAAAAGCGCTCTTAGTGATATAAAATAGACTCCAGTTTCAAAGGTGATGCTATATGCGTATTATACGCACCAAAACTCGTTTCTTGTTTGACCTTCCTGACTATTTAGTAAGCAGCAACAATGAGTTCGTGTGTTAGCCGTTTAGATTTAGCGATGTCTATATTAGAAACGCAAGTAACGATCAGTATTGGTAACATCATATATGGACTTAAAAATCTTTCGACTAACCGTATTTAGCAAACGTCATGTATTTCGCGGTCACGACCACACAATCTGCTTTGATATTTAAAGTTTTTGTAAATTGAAACTTAGCAATGTCGATTTGAAATATTTAACGAAGTATTAGAAATGAACATCAGAATTATTTTATCTAAACGCTAAAAAACCCAGTTTTGGCCGATGGTGGAGAAGTGGTTAGCGCACTTGCCTTTCTCCTCTAAGGTTGCAGGTTCAAGCCTCAATGAGAATTTCTCAATATGACTCGAACCCAGTCCTCATATGAAAAGAGTAAAAGTCAGCGCTCTGCCGAAAGTCGTGGGTTTTCTCCGGGTACTTCGGTTTCCTCCCACAGGGAAAGTTGACAGGGTGGGTTAAGCACATAGGATAGGGGGCAGATCATTAATGAGGTATGGACTAATAGCGGCTGCTTAAAGCGCCATTTGTAAGCTCACAGTCTACCTCGTCTGCTTCATGCCAGTTCTGGCTGTAATTGTAATGCGCACTTGATCATATACGTATGTAATATCGCGCAATAGAAATATTAAATATTATTATTATTATTACTTAGAATTTAGCAAGCGTCATATGTTTCGCGCCTGCATGCACGCGCGAAATTTCTGACCCGTCACGCTAGGTCAGGTATTTCGCAGAGGTCAGGAATTTCACTTGACACCGGTCATCGGACATTGATCCAGCCAAACTTTACATTTTGTCTGATCAAAGCTTTTTATGACCGGACATGTGACCGACCGATTTAGGCTGGTCAAATCTCCAATCTCAAAAAATGTTTAGTTAACGCATTTTTCATTAATGAAACCAACAAAAATGCAATATAGGCATCACTTCTCCACCATTTCTTGCTGCATTAAGCCGTAAGATTTAATTGTAAATCTGCATCACCTTCGTATATAACATGGTTATTGTAGAAATTAAAGTTATGTATAACCTAAACTATAATTTACTGAAACATAAGGACTGGTAGATATATACTCAGTTTTAGATGCATTCCACTGCGGACTGTTTACTGATGCACTAGGACTGGTAGATATATACTCAGTTTTAGATGCATTCCACTGCGGACTAACATGACCAGGCAAAAAATTAAACATCGTGCTAATTTTAAAAAATGGAAATTTTACTTTGTCCGTTGTCCGATAAAAATTGATAAATGTCCGACCAATTTTTGGCTTGGCCAGACATTTGTCCTTCCAAGTAAAATAATTATTTGCAGGCCTGGTCTTCCGTTGAATTGAAAAGAGGGTTTAGTCTAAGAGAATACGTGCGTGTTATTAAATTTATACTTGTAAAACTGTAAAACTGTCTAGAAGTATTATATAAGACGGCTACGATTATCTTGGTTGAAATGAATTTTGGGAATGACAAGTGTTTTTCGAATCGGTCTATAACTAATACTTTCTCCCCCATGCTCGTATAGTGGCTCCGACTGGGCCTAACCTTAAGGCCGTTTTCCACGCGGCCAATAAGCGAGCGCGAACAAGCGACAAAGTAACAAAACAAGTAAACAGGAAATGGCTGCCTTCAATATACGATGGTTTTTAAGGCGCAAAATACTTACTTTGTTGCTTGTAAGAAAGAGAAGGCAGCGCTTAAAATATAGGAAGAGATTCTGGGTGAGGAAAATATACGAAGAACGACAGGCGAAGGGCGAATATCACATTCTTGTGAAGGAATTGATGCTTGGCGACCCAGAATATTTCTTTCGGCTCTTTAGGATGTCGCCCGGCACTTTTGAGCTGCTATTGACCTGGGTCGCTCCTTTAATAACAAAAAGTCCACCAGAATGCGAGAACCAATTCCTCCAGACGAAAGGCTCTCAGTTACTTTGAGATATCTAGTCACGGGTGATGCTCACACTACAATTGCGGTGAGCTATCGTTATAAGTCCTACGACGATGGGGCGAATTGTGCAGGAAACTTGTGATGCATTGTGGAACGCTCTTTCCGAGCAAGGATTTTTGCGTGTCCCTTGCAATACCAATGACTGGAAAAGAATTGCAAACGATTTTGGACAGATGTGGAATTTCCCTCATGCACTCGGGGCTTTGGATGGAAAGCATGTTGTGATGCAAGCACCAGCACGTTCAGGCTCAATTTTTTTTAACTATAAAAAAACTCACAGTATTGTGTTGCTTGCTGTTTGTAATGCTCGGTATGAATTTACATTGGTGGACATAGGAGACACTGGTAGGCAAGCTGATGGCAGCGTATACACAAACAGTTACCTTGGCCGAGCAATTCAGAATGATTTGCTTAATTTCCCTCAACCAAAGGCCTTGGAAAGTTGCCCAAGCAAACCATTCCCATATGCTTTCTTAGCAGATGATGCTTTTGGTCTTAAACCAAACCTCATGAAACCTTACCCCAACCAGTATTTACCTCTAGATGAGAGAATTTTTAATTATCGACTGTCAAGAGCACGGAGAGTAATTGAAAATGCATTCGGTATTGCAACAACTCGTTTTAGAGTTTTTCGCAGGCCAATCATTGCAACAGAGCAAAAGGTCGTCCTTATCACCAAAGCAGTTGTGGCTCTGCATAATTTCCTTATGAGCCTTACTCTAAGTCAAAGGAGCAACTCATACAATTATTGCCCGGCAAATTATGTGGATCAAGAAAATTCATGTGGTACAACTCCAGGTGAGTGGAGAAACCATGACAGTTCAGATGGCTTAATACCTACTGCTATATGTCATGATTTGGGATTTTAAAAATGTTTTATCTTTGGTATATTTTATGAAGAAATGCAATATATCTTTATAAGAAAATATACCATCTTCATAGGATTATCAGCCACCAAAGTTACCGGATATGACATCAAATCGGGAATATTATACGCTTGAAACAAAAGAAATCTAATTTGCAATTCCCGGTTTGATGTCATATCCGGTAACTTTGAGGCCTGATAATCCTGTGAAGATGGAATATTTTCTTTTAAAGATATATTGCATTTCTTCATAAAACATACCAATGATTGCAAATAATAATTTACACAAATCATGACATAGGCTTTAAATTGTTATTTATATTTTGAAAACTGATCTTGAATAATGTTAATGATATTTTATTGAATGAACACTTTGAAAAAGATTTTATTAAATTATACTTATAACATTTCAATAAAAAAATAATCCTGTTAAATAGGTTATCTGCACTGTTACATAATATGTACTGTTACAAACAAAATGAAAGTGGTGATACCTAAACAACATTGTCATCATTGTATTCAATGTCAAACAACAACTGCATGGTTGATTTTAATTTTTGCCAGCCTCTTCTTCTTATTTGGCATCCCTCTCAGAATGGGAACCAGACTCCGACAATATAACAAATCTTCATCCTCTGCCATCTTTTTGTATGAAGCATCAGTGTCACTCAACTGCTTCAAGAGCATCAGCTCTGCTACATCCCTGTTCATGCGATTGCCACTTCTGTTTGCGGCAAACAATTCTGTACATGGTGCTGGTCGTTTGCTTGCTCTCGTTGCTTCTTGTGGCGTGTGGGAAGTCGTGGGAAAATCGGCAGTCAGAGTTATACTCTGACTAACCGGGGTTGTTGGGGGTGGGGGGGGGGAGGTATCAGAGGATTCAGAGCATTTAGGGTTGCTAAATTGCTCTCTGTGGGCCTGTTACCAACACCGCCATGTAGAAATGCCATTTGCTCGAAGAACCTGCACTGAGGCAAAGATGAAGCAGCCGCCCCAGATATGGTCATCTTGGACCTCTTGTCGAGACATTTTTTAAACTATCCTTCAAGTTCTTCAGTTGTCTTTGAAGAAAATCCACTAAAATATTAAAAATCCATTTTAATAGTAAGAAAATTTACAGTATTAAAAATACATACAATAATATATTTTTACTTTAATGCCATTAGTATATCTATAGTATATTGGATACTCACGCGATTCAGATATTCATGAACGCATTATACGAAATTCATATATGATAAAACTAGGAACAAACTTAGCTATTCGAAGCATTTAATATGATAAAACTAGAAAACAAATACTTAGCTTTATTAAAATGTTTCAGGCTTCAGCCTGTTTGCAAATTCAGTCAATTGAAAGTCGTCGACATTTGAATGGGTATCTTGCATGTATCGTTCATTCTCCTTTTCAAAATTTTATAGACATAGTGCTCCAACAATATTACAATAATGGCTGCCTATAAAATTGTTGGTTGCAATGAGGAGGCGTGGCTTCATGAACGGAAACGGAAGCACATATTGATTAAATACATTAATGATTAATCCTTACCGTCCCTGTCAAAAATTTCAGACAGTTTCTTCCAGGCATTCGCTTTGACCGTACGGTCTTTGTATAAAGACGAGCTTGTGTCCCAAAGACAACTTAATTGTCTCACTTCTTCGATGAAGAACTCTTTGTCAAATTCGACGCTAGTACTCTCCGTTTCCTCGACCGTATTCTGCTGTGTCTTCTCGCTTTCGGAACCTCTTCTAGCTTGCCGCATAAGTTCTTCAATTGCGGAAATATTGTCTGCCGACAAATTTGCTATCAAATTTCCGTCTTCCATATTGTAAAAAACATTGTGCTTCGAAAATATTACTTCGCAGTTCGCGTAAGCTGATTGGTCAATTTTTTCATCGCTCGCTTTTCGCCGCGAAAAAGTTGAACATGATCCTACTTTTTCGGCGGCAGCAGAGCGATTATTTTCGCCGAGAAAATTCGTCATTGACTGCAATGCGCATGCTCACGGCGAAAAAAATCGCGTCGCGCGAAAAAATTCGCCTAGTGGAAAACGGCCTTTACCCCGAGTGACTTAAATCTTACTCTGGGGAGCCCACACTGGATTCAAGTGTCTGGCGAGGAATGTTTTACCCTTCTAATCACTTCATATATGCCTTTTATACATTAGGAACACACTGACTGGAATGATCAAAAAAGGACAACTGGATGAAGAGAAAAGAGTACTTTAATATCAAGATCAAGACTAAACTGGAATTTAACGTCAAAGAATGTGATGTCAACAACATGACTGGATACATGTAAGATACATTTGTACTTTATTTATTTGCCCTTCGTTACAATACCAAACATGGAAAAACAAAAGGGTAATTGACACAGAGACGAAGAAGGTCTTTATTACAATGTGTAGACCTTAAGCAACACATGAAAAATGAATAACGAACGTTTATCAAAGGTCGAACGTTCAGCGTAGGTAGTGACAAGAACACCAGAATGCTGCGGATTGAGAGAGATGGAACTATCTGAAAAATACCAGCGAAACTTCGACGTTCCCAGCGAAGGCCCTTCGTCCAAGTTAGCGACCATGTTCCTAACACCCAGACGAAAGACCGTCGCTCGAAACGTGGATGTTTTGCTTTTATTTGTCAGATAGTTGAAATTCTCTCAATCACCAGCTCTCTTCATTTATCAAAGTTAATTGTTAAACTCGAACGCAACATTCAACGTTAACTGTTAAGTTTGACTCCAATTTTAACTTTGATCCAATTTGATCTTCAGGAGAGTGCAAAATGATCTCAGAGGAATGCTCACCTCCTCGCACCTTTCCTCAAAAGCCGGCCATGTTAGTAATGTATTCAATGTCAGCGTCCGTTCGTATTTTTTGTCGAATTACTGCCACTAGTGCCTGTAACTAGTTTGTGTATTCATTTGTATTGGGCTTACAAGTGTATGGAGATGATCTAGTCTTTGAAAATAGATTCAGTGCAATGCTGATTAATTCGTGAATTTCATACTCTATTTTTAATAGAGAAGTTCGCATTTGAGTTCCGCTACCGCTACCATTCAGGGACTATTAACCAACAGATGTGTTTGATCTACCCGATTAACCAATCAGATGTGTTTGATCTACCCGATTAACCAATTAGATGCACCAGCACAAGTCAGAGGTAGCGCTGGTGACCTCTAGACTTGGTTCAAGTCCGTCTTTCAAGGGGTTGAAAATAGCGATGCACGCGAGCGGTGAAAAAAGGCGTGAAAGTATATGAGAGAAAAGTAGGGTGAGACGGACTTGGGACATTTGCAAGCGCGCCAAAATTTACCGTCGGATTTTCCTACGGAGGCGTGGCTTGCGAGTTGACAACAACAACAAATTTCCGCGCCAATTTTGCAAGTATGACATTCGAAATGTTGCAAATGTTGCATATCTGTCTCTGAGACGGACTTGAACCAAATCTAGTGGACCTCTATAATTGAGAGGTTAAGATACCCCGGTTTCGGAGTACGTGTACGGGTAGCATGATTAGGTACCTTTACTTGTAATTAAGGCGCACATTTTTTGCATTATATTATTGTCTATTGCAAGAAAACAGAAAAAGTATGATCGAATTTCAGACATCAGTAAAACAAGATAACACTACTCGTACCCGTACACCGAAACTGGGGTATCTTAACCTCTCTATTATTATTAAGGGACGTACCATTGTGATAGAAGTGAGTGGGGGGGGGGGGGTGATGAGAGGGGATTCATTTGATTTGCTTAATCGGCGTTTATAAATATTGTTTAGGAAGGTCATGAGCGAGAGCTGGCCGATGTTATGGACAGAATACAGTAACGACAATCACAACTAGAAAATCTACTACCACGGTATAACAGACTGAAAACAACAGAAGAGGAGATCGAGTACTCAAAGGTAAAGTGAATGTTTTATTAAATTGGAAATTCAGGGGTCGTTTGCGCAAATGCCGGATAACGCTACCCACCGCCTGAAGAACCATGCAGAAAACTATTGATATGAACCTCAAAAGAAGTGCAGTTAAAACCCACATAAATGAAATGGTGGGTTAAGAACCACCAGCCTGAAATTTCGGTAATTACACAACTAAAATACGAGAACCACTTCAGGCTGACAAGTGAGACTGTTTTTCTTTAGAATATTTAGAATGCATGCTCTAAGGGTTTCAATGAGCATACATTTTATCAAATTCAGAGGCTTTTACAGAGAAAATACAAAGTGTCCCGCTTCTGCAGTCTGTTGTGATTTACTGTAACTTGTTCTGTTTTTCTGTAGCGATGACCGATTTGTCGGCAAATACCGCGATAAAATTTAAATTTCGTACATTAGGGCGTTTAAGCTTCACGTTTGCGGGAAGAGCAAGACCGACTTTTCTTGCCATAATTTTGGTTCGATTTCTGCCTGTCATATTTTCTTTCATGTGACACAGGAATAGTTAAAGTGCCTCTTGCACAAATATTTTTTTTAACTATGTTCAATCTACGCACAATTTATAGCCTTCATACCATCCCGTACTTCGGGGATGAACGGCCAGAAGCTAAAAAGAGACGAAAAATTTGGATTGATTTCGTCAAAGCTAAACGCGTGTTCGAACCTTCAAAGTCCTCTACTCTTTGCTCGAATCATTTCAAGCCTGAGGATTTCGAAAGGCGGTTTCACATGTTACCTGGGCAAACAAAACCTAACTTTCAAAAGCTGAGGGCTGATGATCTAGGAGTTTGCGTTTTCCCAAGCATTCATGCAACACCGAAAGCCAAGCAGGAAATGTTGCCCATGACAAGCCCCCGGAGTAGACGAATGGTGAGTTCTTTCAAATTTCAATTAATGTTTTACATTTTCTATACAATTAACCTAAATTTATCTTCAGACGTTCAATTTTACGGTCAGTAAGTAAACTTTATCATCGTTAATAATCTAATAAGCATTCTTTTACACATGGCAACTTGTTCAATGGCGCGCTGTGCGCATCATTGCATCAAATTATAAATGGTAAAATAGTATAAATTGTTACGGATGCTATTAAACGTTCGTGAAACAACGAGCAGTTTAGTTTTAAATTATTAATTTAACCAATGGGAATAGACAATTAAACATATTGTGGTTAAATGACTGTTTATATTATAATCAGGCAATAAAGAACATCCATGACCAAGAAGATGCAATGGTCCAGCAAACACCAAAGGCAAAGAGAAAGCAGAAAGAATTGCCCCTACATCGGGAAAGTATGAAAAGGAAGTCAACTGAAATTGAAGATCCTATTGTGAGCGAGCAGGTCAATGTAGATTTATTCTATATACAGTATTCTACTAATTGTACATTGATATTTTTTATAGGGTCTTGCTTTTTTTTCAGATTTTATAAAACAACTTATTGATCGTCCATTTCTGTCTGAGAAAGGTGTGGGGGTATAGAGTTAGAAGGTGGGCCATTCAAAAGATGTGACCTTAAAAGGGTGGGCCACACCAAATATGATAGAATGTTTTGTTGTTCTGTTGCAAGAATGTTACACTGAAATGCATGGAATGGCCATTCTGGGCTACTACATTTAATAGGCTCTTACTCACTATGTACCTTAGCATTGAAGGGGGAGGGGGTCATATGAAGAAAATGTCATGTTTAAGGCAGGTCACAGGTAAAAGTTGGGTATGAAGGGGTGGACAATGCTGAAAATGTGATGTTTCATGTTTGTTTACTGTAGGTTCCAACCATGGAGGATAATATACCTCTGAAGAAGAATAGACCTTCTGAAGAATTTGACAAGCTGGTGGAAAACAACCGAAAGTTGCGAAACCAAGTAATAAGCCTACAAGCAAATGTTAAAAATAAGAAAAACAGAATAAAGCAAATGAAACGAAAAGGTATGTAGGACACAGTGTAACTCTCATTTTAAAGTGACAGTTTGACAGACACTAGAAACATGATGTTAACAGAATCAGTTGTGATTGGTGACTGAAACCATTTGTTATATTTATGTAGTGGACAAGCTTGATCAACAATCAACTATTGATCAACACCAATCAACTAGCAGCAATATGTTGGAAGTGGAAGTAGATGTGACTAGTGCGATTGAGAGTGAAGATGAATCAATGGATGAAAATGATGATGATATGTATGATCCGCAGTATGAGATGGAAGCCGACCATGACAATTCAGATCACTCTGAATCTGAGAGTGATGAGTCTGATGAAGAATCAGAGTAAGCTAATTTGATTATTAAATAACCGAATACGGTCAACACAAAGGAAATCTCAGCTGTACAGATGGAGAAGCATTCCCATAAAAGTACAATTTTTTGGATATAAAAGGGGCGAGAGCTGATGTAGTTCAATCATTATGTAGAATTGATATGCTATTTATAATTACTTGTCACAGGTTACTGACAATGGATGATGAAAACCTGAGGACCATACCAAAGCATATTGTATTTTTGTCGCAGCTGCTGTTGTTGTTCCGTTTCTGTCATTCTTGCAAAGCTGACAATCCTCTAGTGGAAACAAGAGAAGTTGGCTCAAAAGCTGTGGTCACTACAATATGTTGCAACCCAAAGTGCCCACAGAAGACAACAATATGGCATAGTCAACCTATGATGCCTGGAACCAAAATTTCTGCTGGGAATTTCCTTTTATGTATGGCTACTCTACTCGGTGGTGGTTCTTTTTCGAAAGTTAGACAGATGTTTGTACACATGGGCCTCGGTTGTGTATCTCTGAGTACATACTTCCGTTATCAAAAGGTTTGCAAATTATACTGTGCAAATATTTAGCAAACAATATACCCTAAATGTAGATTTATTAATAAATTGAATTACATTTTGTACAAATTCAAAGGGTGAGTTACAAGTCAGTCCAAGGATCCTCAAAAACAATATTTCCTAACTCATAAGAGCATTTCACAACAAATCACTAGTTCCATTTAGGATTAACAGGTTTACTGTATGTTACAGTATAGCTGTCCAGTAAACAACATCTTATTTTTGCTCCACATATTTTTCGAACGATGCACTCATTTATTTAATATAGAGAAAACAACAATTTGCAATAATTATGTGTTGACATCGTACCTCAATAACAAATAGAATATCCAGCATGTTAACCATAACTTGCAATGACTTGGAGGTTTATATCTTGGGGTATAGTTTTAGCTAATTATAAGTTGATTCTAGCATAATTCTAGGTGTTTACATTCATGTGAGAAAGCTAATCAGTGTTGGGGGGCGGGGCATGGGAGGAGACTATGGGCATAATTTAGCCAATTCCCAGTCCTTACTGATTGCTTAGCAACACCAAGATTTAAAAAATATATCTTAATATTATTAATATATATTAATATTTATTTAGACTAAGCTGTTTCCAACTATCTACCTGCATTGGAAGAAGTACCAGAGGATGCTGATAGAAAAGGCTAAACAAGTCAAGGGAGGTGTGGTGATGGCAGGAGATGGTCGCCACGACAGCATGGGACACTCAGCTAAATTCTGTGCATATACAATGTTCTGTTGTACTATGACGAAAATCATACACTTTGATCTTGTGCAGGTACTGTAGAAATTCTGAATTATGCTGAATTAATAGTTTGATACTGATTGTCAGTATTTGAATATTGACATAACTATTAGGATCTTTGGGAGGATTAAGGGAAGATTGTGTCCACAAATTTATACTTCTACAACAACACCAAGCTTCATGTTTGATATATCTGGTCATTGCTGGGTCTTTTTTGATCATCTAATCAATCATTTTTTCAAATGTTTCCTGACACATACTGAGTGATGATTCACCCTGCTTTGGATGCTGGCCCAGCATCTTGTCCAGCACCTGCTTGGCACCCCTATCAGATCAAGCTGGATCCATCCCTGTGTATATTGTGTATATCCCTGTTGCGAGATTTAACCAATGCTTACTTGGTATGGACACATGAATATGTTCAGATGTTAATGGTATTTTGTATTTTCTATTACAGAGAAATCAGGCAGGAAGCAGTCCTGCAATGGAGTTTCTATCATTTAAGTCCTGTATGGAATATTTAAAAAAGCAAGGGTTGACCATAACCACATTTATCTCAGATAGACATGCATCAATTGCCAAACATATGAGAACTGTGTTGAAAAATATAACACATTATTTTGATATCTGGCACTTAAAGAAAAGTAAGTACAATTCCATTTTGATACATATGTAGTTTAGAGGTGTGCATCAGATCGAATTGGACGTTTATAATTCGGCAATTTGTTGTTTGTTTTTTTACGAAACAACTTTATCAATCCAATCCGAAATGAATATTTTTGTTCGGATTTGGATCGGATTTGCACACCTCTAATGTATTTGTATCAACTTTCATCCTTTGTATTTGTATCGACTTTCATCCTTAGATGTAGTAGCCTGAGTAGGAGGTGCTAAACTACATTGAGGGAGACTTTATGATCTCTGCTGGACAGGATTGTCAGTTGCCGAGATGCCATTCATATTAATAATAGCCAGGGTATTGCCTAGTCAGGATGGGAAATTCGGACATAACCTTTCTATCCTGGCTAGGCAGGGTCAATTTGCGCATTTTGAACATGTGCAAACTTTTAGCCTTCTCCCAAATGATATCTAGCTGAATCATTTTTGTGACAAGTTCATGATCAATCTTTTCAGAAATACGGAAGGTGCTTTCGAAAGTAGCTAAGGAAAAAGATTGCGAATTGTTGAATGAATGGATCAAACCATGCGAGAATCACCTGCACTGGAGTGCAACATCGACATTTAGTGGCAATGGACTGGTGATATGGGCCAAATTCAAGTCATTTTTGGGACACATTGTGAATACACATTCTGATCACAATGATCCACTGTTCAACAAGTGTGGCCATGGCAGTGAGATTCAAGCTAGAAAGTGGCTCACAAAAGGTATATACAAATTATGGTTACTGTATAAGTATCAGTTCAGTACTATTCGCATGTTATAAAACCAGTTAGCCAAGCCCAGATCCCATTTGAGAACATCATTCTGCATTAGACTTAAAGTAGGGATGCTCATGTTTTGATCAATTTATATTAAGATTCACACCTTTACGAAAAAGTCTCTGCTGCATTGACAAACCCCAGGCTGGTGAAAGGAATCAAGCAGGCTTCTCCATTGGAACAGACAAGTTGCCTAGAGGGGTTCCATAGTGTGCTAAATCAATTTGCCCCCAAAATGATTGCATACTCGTATATTGGACAATACTGCAGGTTTGTGACTTTGATGATAAAATCATCTTGTTTTAGTGAAGAATGCATTAGCATAATGGAGGAAGAGAGGGCCCTTAGGCATATTTGGTGTGGGGGCACCTATTGACTGTTCTCATTGTTTGACTGAGATATTATATTTATGTTGAACATTATTGAATGCTCTGGAAAATTCTGTGTCTATAACAATAACAGTCTTCAACACATAATTTCTAATAAGAATAACTTTTGTTTTATTTGAGATGGAATAAAAGATCATCTGCCGTTGTCGATGGAGGCTTTATTATTTAGCGTTATTATTAATTTTGCATTTTCCCATCAATTCTTAACCTCTATTTTTACGTTTTCTAATTTTCTGGGCGATAGGCCATGGCTTATGAGGCCCCTAACTGTCAGGGGTCCTTAGTTTTTTAACTAACCCGCTAATGAGCGTTACGCCACTGGAAGAATGTGCTGTAAGGGGAGGCGATGAGATGCTTAGGCATTGACTGGTGGTGGGTTAGCTTGGTCACATGACTTTATTTGGGATTTAACCCTACACACCTAAGATTTAACAAATATAAAAATTTTCCATGTTGATATACAGTTTATATATCAACACAAGTGGGAATTGGGAAAATGAGAAATTGTGTGGAAACACGACGCCCTAAGGGCGGAGGGTTTTCACACAATTTCGAGTTTTCCCAATTTCCACAAGTGTTGATATAACTGTATATCAACATGGAAAAAATGTTTTATATTTGCACAAAGAAATATAAAGAAAGATATTTTCCGACGTTTCTGTATTGACATTGAGTTATATCAACATGGCTCTTAGCCAATCAGCATTCAGAATTTACAAATGCTATATTATAAACTATATTATTCATTGTTTTTCCAGGCATATTCTTGCTGTCATGCATTTTAATGCAAATCTTCATCGTGCCACAGAGACCAAAAAAGCTGACAATGCGGAACGAGTAAAAGTCACTTATCCCAAGTTTAAAAATGGTGAAGCAACGATTAGGAATGTTAAAATTTCACAAAACTTCTGTAAGTACTACCTACAGTATGTATATATTCATACATGCATATATGCATACTATTCATCTGTAAACAGTAAATTTTCATCAAATGTCTAGAGATAAATTGTTTTGATTTGTTACATCTTGTTATCTTTGCAGCATATGTACAGGAGGTATTCGAGACATACACTGGATCAAGCAAAAAAGCACTGAAAGATGCTGCTTTGAAGCTCAAAGAAATGTCTCCAAAGCCAATGGATTCAATGTTTGAAAAGCAAACAAAGGCAGAGGCTCTCAAGAAAAGATTGGACAGACGTGGAATGGTCATCCTAGATGTCCCACCAACCACACCAGGTACTTATTTCATACGTTTCTTGGTATGCTGTACCCTTTAGCTTGCAATGTGCCAACATACACCCTACCAATTGATGATGTACGAGTATTTCATTCTGTCTAATTCCAGATGATTTTACTCATACTGTAAGTACAGTTTATGGGCTAAAAAAGCATTTACCTCATAACAATTTCTGAAACGTTTGCAATTTTTTACAGTATCACAAGTTCTTGAACAGGAGAAGGCACAAAAGAAAAATGAAAAGCAAAAAGAAAAGGCTAATCCATGCTGTAGATTATGCAAGAATCCTATGAAAGGACACAAATATGTTAAAGACTGTCCCAAAAACAAATAGAGCACAGTATTTGGGACAAAAGTGTAACATAAATTTTAATCAAGTTTTTGCTGTACATAATAAATAAATCTGTGAATTTATCAAAAAGGAAACCAACTATATAAATATTATCATGGTTACACGAGTGGAAGCTTTGTAAAATTTCATTATCAGAAATCATCCAGGTTCCCCCAACAGAGGAAATTCCAGTCATCCAGAGGGGGAGGGTATAACCTCAAGTAATACTAAAGTTGAATTCCTCTGGGGTTGGCGCAGTTGTTTTTCGCAGTAAAGGTGAAGCTGTAGGAAGATGTTCTGTGACTGGTTGATTATGACAATGACAAAAGACGTAATTGGCTTACATAAACAAAAGGAATATTGTTCTTGCTTTGTTCTTTAGAAAATCCATTCTATAGCTTATTCTTTTGTCATTGTCATAATCAACCAATCACAGAACATCTTCCTAGAGCTTCGTGCTGACCCGTTTTCGAAGACCCAACACAATAAATATGGTGTGTAAGCTTTGGTTAGGACCATCACCAAACAGATTCTGTCCAACTTTGCAGACTTATTCTAAGGACCCCTTATGTGCAAACTACACAATATAATCAGCATCACAATCGGGCCCAAACTATTTCTGAATACCTGATGGCCAGAAATCAATTTATTGACAGTCCCTCACCAAACAATTTGGAAGCATGTATTATATTTCTCAGTCAGATTCATCAACATAGCCAGTAAATTCTTCTTTTTCACTAACAGGAAATGTTTTTCTAATAGCCATGTAGGCACATGCTGGCAGAGGTATCCTTTTATTTCCGAGGAATCGATAAACCATCCTCGTAAATCCTCTGTACGAGACACTGCGCAGGAATCTAGAAACAGGGCAACAATTTATTAAATGCCAGTACAAAATGATTTTGTCTTTTACTATTTCTGGTAATATTATATATCACAAGTAGTTGAGCAATCAATGCAGTTCTAACCTGTTCTCTCCCTCCAGTTGGCGATATCTGGCTTTACTTTTGGTTTTATAGCCATCTGCAGACATCTTTAAACTCCACTTTTGCAAACAAAAGCAATTAAATCCTGGGTGTTGCGTTATACATTTAGCATCTGTGATATCCGCAGCCTTTACGTCTTCAAGAACCTCTTCGTTGTGCATGGCTTCGTCACAGCCTTCCAACTCAGAACAGCAATAGCACTCGTAGCTATTATGAAGTAGTTCCACACTACAGTTACCACATTTACACCTGCAACAAAATCACAAAAATAAAACATTTAACTTCGGCCAAAAGCAGCCAGAGCAACAGAGCATTCCTTACCCCAAACACTTTATAATCGCGTACTAAAATGACAAATTATAACGAAATTTTACTGTAATAGACTTTGATATAAACTCCTTACCATCCGCTTATATCTACAGAACCATTTAATCTTTTAACGAGTTTTTCTTCTACTTCTAAACGCTCCTGTTCTTCTTTTTGATATGTTTCCAGCCAGGCTTCGTCAGCTAAAGGTTCATCGGCATATGCAATGCCCGAACAACCACTCTCTTCGAGCTCTGGGTCAATCGAGTATTCACGATTTCCATCATTTTATTCTGCATCCTTTATGACATATTCAGGAATGAAGTTTACGTCCGAGTCATCAGATTGATAACTTGTATCAGAATTATCCGATTCACTGCTGGACATGATCGCTGTATAATACTTATTTGCAATTGAAATGTTTTTGGCAAAATACAGTCCTCCTCGTGATCGAATATAAAACAACACATCGAACAACAAAGCAAAACACCGACTACCTTGCGTGACGTCAGAAAAGCGTTCTAGACCCAGACTCCTAACTCCGCGTCAATGGGCCACGAGATGCCATATTTAACACGCCATAAAAACCACCCAAATGATTCAAAATTAAAATTTTTTTCACTAAACCACTATAAATTGGTAGTAGGTCCGATAAGACGAAAAAAATAAATTGTGCAAGAGGCACTTTAAGCATTCTAGTTATAAAAGAACAAGCCCATTTACTTTTTATTGTTTTATAGCGTAAAAGTTTTCTTTGCCTGTCGGTTGTCGTTGAACGCGAAGCTTAAGCTCTCTAATTTATGCAATGAAACTAATAAAAAAGTAGTCTTTCCCTTTGCTACAAATTATCATATTTACATGTAAAAAAAGAGAAAACTAACTTTTTTCGCGGTATTTAGCGATAAATCGGTAATCGCTACAGAAAAACGGAACAAATTACAGTAAATTAGAACAAACTACTGAAGCGGAAGTGGGACACTTTTTGTATTTTCACTGTAAATGGCAATTATTAGTATGATACCGTCAACAGCTTACTATAATTAGGAAAACGAATGATTTCAAACACAAAACCAGGAGAAAGAGAGAGAAACAATAGTTATTGACCAGAAATAAGAACCAGTTAAGAACCAACCTGATTTCTTACTAAGTATATACCTATCAGATAAGAACCACTTCAGCCTGATCATGACACAAAAAATAGCAGTTCTTTTATGCAGGTTTTTACCGTACATATAAGCCTGCAAATAATTGCTCCCCACAGAATAAGGACAAACGGAAAGTCTTCCATACCCTTTCGAAAACCAACACGACGCACCTCGGCTGGTTAATGCAACAAGAAATAATGAGGAAGTGTTGTTTATATTGCTTGGGTTTCATTAATGAAAAATGTGTTAAAAGATTTGACCTGCCTAAATTGGTCGGTCACATGTCCAGTATAGCTTCGATTGGACAAGAGGTAAAATTTGGTCGGACAATGTCCGAAGACTGGCACTAATTTGCATGCCTGGTATAAACTGGTGTAAATTTCCAGTTGGTTAGCACAGGAATCACGGGGTTCAATTCCTAGCAGATGGTCTATACAGTAGTTGTATTTTTCGCAACTGCTCCTGGTTAGATCTAAATAAATGTATAAAAATTTACATCTGCAAAACCCTTCAACATTAGATGAATTAAGTGAGATGTCCATGCAAAGTAATCTTAATATAAAAAAACTTTAACTTTAATATTGAACTTTAATCTGAATTATGCGAACAAATTCATAATTAAAAAAGCTTGATATCTTATCTGGCTTTCATACAATCATCCCAGCCCTATGTAATCCTTGATCCTAAGAAAAATCGAGATGCTATATGCTTTCTAAGATTGAGTTATGTGTAAAAGATATTCTCATTTGGTGTGCAAAAATGGTCTTACTTGTGATCCTGACAAGACTAAAGTTCTTCATATCACGTCTCGGTTTACCAAGAATTATGAAGTACCCCTTAGGATAAATGTGAATAACAACATTATATATCTTTTCTTCACCGAATGCACGTGATCTTGGAGTTACAGTTGATTCCGATCTTAAAATGACGAGTCATGTCAATAATGTTTCCAAATCTTTATTCTTTGCTCTAAGAAACCTCGGTAAGATCTGGAGATATATTAACCAGAACGCAGGGTGTGATAATTCAATATTTTTAGCCGTATACCTGACTGGTACTCCAACAATTTTTGCCGAGTACTTGAGCTGGTACAAACTTAAGGGCCAAAGTGTACCTAGGGCTACTTCAGAGTCATATAATGCACGGTCTTTGACGGAAAAACTGAACTTTTCTGAATTTTATATATTAATTTTAATAAATACGTTTACTAGCACGCAATATATCACACAAAAAACTAAATTCTCCACATTTATTCATTTAGTTAGTTCATGATAAACAGTTTAATGGATTGCTAATAACAGGAAATAAAACTAAGATTTCCAACAGCCTAAAACGTTTAGATCACATTGAATGGTTTACTGGTCTAAAAGAAAAAACTATGGACAATTTTGTAGAAACAAATCTTCAATGGTATTTGTACGACATAACATAACAGTTTTCAAAGCGTTTTGCGACTCGAATGCCATCGCTCAGTTACAGTATAGATTTGCTGAGGGTGCTAACAGCCTAACCTCATCGAACCATTTATGGACATAGCGTTAACAAGCGTAATTCGGAAATCTTCGGGAATTAGTGAATCCTCCACTCTATAGTCGATAGCATACTACGTAGACGCCAAAAAACACAAATAAGAAAGTTAACAACCTTGTTCGATCCGAAATATGTCGGACGTGTGGAATTTACATGTACAGCTAAAGTTATTGACGGTTTTGAATACCTTGGAAGGTTTGCTTGTTGTTGCTAGAAGGAAGATGTAAGTACGCGAATAGCAAATTCTCGTGTACCTACGTGGTATTCGATTAAAAACAAAGAAGTACCAGACCGTAATTTTGGCGTACCTCTTTTAACGACTGCGAAAAATTGGGACATGCTTTCATCGCATCAAGGCTTGATTCGTGTAATAGTATTCTGTTTGGGTACCAGCTGTAGAAATTGACAAACTACAACGTATACAAAACGCTGCTGCAAGACTTAATTGTAGTCGGAAGAAAGAAATATGATCACGTCACCCCGATATTGAAACAGCTTCATTGGCTTCCTGTAAGGGCCAGAATAGATTTTAACATTCTGCTTATTACTTACAAGACCCTTAATAACCAAGCACCGGACTATATAGCAGAACTTTTAGGCATTTATAGGCCTAAACGTACTTTGAAATCAACACATGCATAATTTACTAGCTGTTCCAAAATCAAACACTAAGACGTATGGTGAGAGAGCATTCCAAGTAAGTGCTCCTAAGCTGTGAAACTCTCCACCTGACTACATTCGTCTCTCAAGTTCAGTAGGTATTTTTAAAGGCTTAGTAAAGGCACATCTTTTTAGAAAATACTTTGACTAGATAGCGCGTTTTTATATATTTCAGTAATTGCGTACATATAATATAGTATAAATTATAAGATCCTTGCTAGAGCATCGAGACTCTGTAGGATGCTCCTAATACATTATTATTATTATTATTATTATTATTATTACGGGAAAATAATGGACCGCTGAAAGTGCTTCTCAATCAATCACAGTCCGCCATTTCACCGGAAGTGATGCTTGCCATATAATAATGGTCCCCCTAGTAGTGGAAGTGAAATCTGAACCTCTATATAACATCAATTTCGTGCGTGATTTATAAACCCCGTAAGTCAAGGCACTCTTCTTGGCGGGAGAAAGAAGCGATATGGGTTTTTCCTGCGCAATGAATGCCGAAAATATGAGAAGAGTAATTCCGTCCAGTTTACCGAAAGTTCTCTACACGTCTGGTACTCTGGTTTCCTCCAAATGTAACACTGAAACAATACATATAAAAGTCAGTTGTACAAGGGTTCGCCGTACTAGACCTCTACGTCAAAGGAAAGCAGTTATTAGTTGGGTTATAAATAAAGTTAGTTCGGTCGTTTTGAGTTTAGTGTTACCTCGTGCGTTATAAATTGTGCAGGATAATGTGGTCCTTTATTAGTATAGGTGATTATGCGATGGCGAGTACAATGGATATTAATAGTACGAGCGATGTTAGGAAATTTTGCCAAAATTAGACGAGCCACCTGAGCGAGCCCAATTTAGCAAATTTCCAAACATCACGAGCATTATTAATCCCTAATTGTACGAGCAACATCGCATGATTACTTGTTTATTATTAGCATGACAAAATTGGGTACTTCTCAATATCAATATCAACATCATATTCTCAAAGCCCAGTCTGCCAGACTTTCAACCCAAATTTGGTGCTTTTCTTCGTATTGTCATTTAGTTCTTTTGTTAAAGCAAAATTTTGTGCTTTTGTTCGTATTTTCATCTAGTTCCTCTAGGGCAATTTCATTCATTTTAAAACATTGGTTTAAAATGCCTTTCCGCCATTGTGTTTGTTTTGGAAAAATCATTAATTGTACTACAGTACAATTAATGAAATAATTGTACTCCTCTCAACCAATCAGCATCCAGTAATTTTGGCATGCTAATAATGTAGCAAATGTGTACTCATGTCTGAAATATTTTTTGTTCCTTAATGCCTGCCGTTATATATAGTAGGATGATAGGGGTTATACTTTTATATAGTGCTACTTTTGTATAGTGGTACTTTTGTACCGGGTGGCCCAAAAAAAAGTACTCCTGTTTGATTCGTAATAACTTCTAAACAAGTAAAGTTTTTAAAGAGAAATAACTTGCATTAAATAGAGGAAGGACTAACTTAGATTTTGATATATTAGAGTTGTAGTTAACTTAAAAATTCACGGATATATTAATGTTAAAAATGGGGAGCATATTTTGGAATGTGTCTAAAATTAGCGAAAATCGGCATATCAAATATTAACTCCAGCGTTTGTTTGCTTAATGACATATTAGGCTAACTTGTATTTCAGCGAATTATCGTTAAGGTTTGTAAGGGATATGGCGTAGATTTAGACATCTTACATGTAAGTCTTAGCTCATTGTTTCCTGAAATATGAACGTTCGAAATTATGCAAGTATTTAATATTAGGTCTTTGCAAACTTAAATGTACATGAAAGACTGACCATGGAAGGCAGGCGCTTAAATTTTTCGTATTCTTAAATAGCCTAATTTTTTTATGTTTTTAATGGGTTCAAACAGACTGAGTAGATTATTTCTCGGTTAGAGCAGGATGAATATTCTTTATTGAAGGAAATAATATTGCTTTTTGCAAATACACATCACCGTATCAACGCTACTATTTTGTTACGTTTTGTTCCAAAAATGTTGCATGTCTCTGGGGAGTTGCTTAATTGTTATGTCTTATGGAGTTGTATGGTTTGATTGTGTTTCATATAATTCTCAGTTTACTCCATGAACTTGCCAAGATTAAGAAACGGCAAAAGAGTTTGGGTGTTCTTAACAAGATTTCAGAACGTTGCAGAAGTTAGAAGAGCTTCACAATTCCGTTGTGACAGCATGCCCTAATTCAGAACTACGAACGATCCAATGACGATCCTTCGCGATGCAGTGGTCTCATGAAATAAGGAAACGTATTCGTGCTAGGAACACACGCGAATTTCGGACGAATGAATCTTGCTTGTATTTTGTAGATATAATAATACTTTGTTTCATAATAAACAATTTGTCAAGTGTCATTTATTTACTGGTAATAGTGCATGTTTCAGTCGGGCAAATCTTGATTAATATTTGATACGCCGATTTTTGCATATTTCAGACACATCCAGAAATATCCTCCCGAATTTAAAGATTAATATCTCCGTGAATTTTTAAGTGAAATACAACTGTAATATATCAAAGTCTAAGTTAGTCCTTCCTCTATTTGATGCAAGTTATTTCTCTTTAAAAGCTATACTTGTTTAGATGTTATTACGAATCAAACAGGAGTACTTTTTTTTGGGCCACCCGGTACATGTATAGTTAAAGTATATTTTAAAGCTGAACAAATATACTACTATTTAACAAAAATCTCCATTATTTAACAAAAATCTCCATTATTCTAGAATTACAAAATATGTTGCGATGGACTGTGAATTTGTTGGTTTTGGTAAAGAAGCTTCAGAACATATGTTGGCGAGGGTATCAATAGTAAACATGGACTGTGAAGTTCTTTATGACAAACATGTTGCTGCACAAGAAAGAGTCGTGGATTACAGAACTAATGTCAGTGGCATTAAACCTTTCCATTTAAGAAATGGTTAGTTATTTCGGGAGTTATTTATCCAACATTTTGGATATCTCGCTCGATAGAACTGAATGTTGATGGGGGGTTTTTTTTGGTCTAAATTAAACTGTGTACACATTTTCGCTCGGTATATAATCTATGCGAGATGCACAAAATCTTGAATATAAATTTTACTTTATATACCCTTACATTGGCATCACCCTAGTATATAATATATTGTTACAATAACTTGTTGTTAATGCTCGGCAAGTGTACTCTAGCTCAGAGCACTGTCCAATCCAGCATCTCCATACGTCAGTGGTCAGATCGCTCCTATCCGTTTAACATGAATTAATTAATGAATTCGACACTGATATCGAATTCAGTAGTGAAAAATGCATTGCGTAGAATTTGCGGTGATAGTAAAAAAAGTCTTGTGAAAAGTACGACATAAGAACTTAACTGTGTACGATACCAAAACATGCGATTAACATTAAGGACCTCAATTTATCAAAGAGCGATTGATCCTGTCATTTTAAGGTTGGAAAAGCGTTGTGCTGCTTTTCTTGGCGGCGGGAGCACGTCGACAGCTACTAAACAACGTTGATTTCAGGAGGGATGCCGCTTGGAAAATGTTGGGCTTAGGTCCCATGAATTACATTACACGCATTACATTATTATTCAGCCTACTCCCCTATGGGGCTTTTCAGTGACCGATTACATCAAGTATTACGCTTACTTATGTTCACTTATGTTACTTACTTAGCCCAAACTCTTTATCTTTACAACAATTGTGATTACTTTCTTAACTGTGTTTATCTTAACCCACCCTGTCAACTTTCCCTGTGGGAGGAAACCGGAGCACTCGGAGAAAACCGACGACTTCGGCAGAGCGTTGACTCTTCACATGCAGCAGTTCACAGTCAATTCTAAATGAAAGTCAAAATTTGAAACGGCTGGTTTCGCCATTCCTATAAACCTAAACGATTTTCCGAAGCTGCATCAAGGTTGCAGCGAACGCGCACTATTCAATCACCAAAGGGCAATCAACTAACCCAATCAGATAAATTTTTGTCAAGCCTGACGGTTATTAAAACGTATTTTAACTCGAGAATATATTGGTTTTTAATCACCCCCGGGTTTTTTCCGCCCGCCCGTTTTCCCGCCTTCATTTTCCCGCCCGTGAAACCTCCGCTAAAAAAGCGGCTGCTATACGCGGGTTCATTTAATTCTGAGTTATACATATATGATTGTATGCCTATTCATTCGTCTTTATGTGTACAAAACTTAGAATATTGTGATTAAATTGGAATTAATTTTTTATAGCTTCGAAATTTACTGATGTTTAAAAAGAAGTTGCCACGTTACTTAAAGATAAAATTCTGGTTGATCTCTCTATCTCTACTCACTTAAAGGTATGTGTACAGTAATAGAGAAGTTCAGATTTGACTTCCACTCTCTATCACTGGCAAAGGACGCATCTGATTGGTTAATCGGATATATCAAACGTATCTGATTGGTTAATGACCCCGGATTAATGGTAGTGATATAGTGGAAGCCAAATCTGAACCTCTCTAATGTAAATAGTGAATCTTTAGTGGCTTTGAAAAAAATATTGCAATATGGAAAAGTTGCAATCCCGGTAAGGCATTGGAACCCCTGATTAAAAGTGTGATACTCCACCAGCCGCGCTGATCAGGTCGCATATCTAATGAGGGTTAATATATCTTGTGAATTATTGTCGCTATTTGCTGGCAACTTTTATTGTTGCATGGGTGCCATTTCTTAGAGAAGGCACAGGCGACATCGAAACCGTTCTGAAACTTAAACAGTTTCGGCTGTTTTCAGGACATCATTATGGATTTCGAATTCGCTCGGAACTGTGTGAGTTTGGTCTAGTAAGGGCAGTCACACCTGACTGGATTAAATATATATGTGAATCCAATACGTCATCGCATAATACGTTCCGTTGCAATGATTATACTGTTCGATTTCCTCGCATCGTTTGAAACCCTCGCAAAAACGTAATTCAGTTAGTTTTAGTGAAATTACCGAGCGCAAATTTTAATGTGCAAATTTGATGCTGTTTGATTAAATCGCTGCAGTAAAAGAGTTTGTAGTAATTTAATGTTTCCAAAAAGCCCGAGTAAGGGATTCGAACACCCGCCCCTCAGATTAAACGTCTGATGCTCTACCGACTGAGGTAACCGGACTCGCATATCTGATTGGACTTATAATCCATGGTATAATAAATTGATCATAACTGGTCATTACCAACATTGAAATGCCCCTCATATGGCGTATATTAAGGAAACCGTGGGTGTTTCTAAATTGACGTGTATCAACCAAGCTATGGCGGAAACACTATAGATTAAACTGCCAAATCATGTCTTTAAGTTAAACTGAGCTTTTATTTCCAGGTATAGTTATGTACAGATTATTTTGGAAAACTCGTGATAATCCTTGACATATCAAAATGATTGATATTAAGAGAGCATTTCCCCATCATTGTGAAGGCAGTATCAGAAAACGTTTCAAATTATGCTCTGATTTTAAGAGAACAGGTAATCTCTTTAATTGTGTTCACAGTGATTATAATGTCACAAATAAGATTGGTTCAGTAAAAATCGCGGGTAAAATGTCGCGGGTCGCGGGTAAAAACTGGCGGGTCGTAAAAAAGCTCTAAACCGTGTATTTTATTGAGTCGCGGGTTGAATAAAGTGTGTAAAAATCACATTAACATTTAGTTATTTAATGGTTTTATCAATAGTTGTTCGAAGATGTTATGGCTGCAATTGCGAGTTTCTAGATAAATATAGACAAGAATCATATAACATTGTAAAGCACGTTGATAGACGGTAGTGCAAAAGGATCCTGTTACACATTCCTATGTTTATAGTCCTGATTTTAGTAATACATATTACCATCCAATTTCTACCATATCATACAGGCGTAAAAATCCGCTATTCAGTGGCTCAGTGCGCGTTGTCGTCAAGCCTCTGCGCATCGATCAGTACTTTCCAGAAACAAGTGCTAGAGAACAGCGACTTAAATATCCGGGTTGTTGGTGAATCATAATGTACTTTTATAATGTCCTAGCATGGATATATCTATTATTTGTGATACTATATGGTTGTTTTTAAATTGGTATAAAACTGATTGTAATAGTAGTGGTAAACTGAATTTATTTCTACCAAAGTCTTGACGTTTGTTTCTTTCAGAACATATTTTTTGATTAGAGGATTTTTGTCATGGTATAATTGTTGCAGGTTTGACATTCTTTCAAGTTTTAGGCTTCTGGCACGTTTATATAGAACCATTAAATCATGACAAAAGGCTCTTGGGCAATATTTCGTACTGAAGCAATCCTATATGGTTGTTTACAAAATGATAATGTGATTTTTACACACTTTATTCAACCCGCGACTCAATAAAATACACGGTTTGGAGCTTTTTTTACGACCCGCAACTTTTTACCCGCGACATTTCACCCGCGACATTCTACCAGCGACACGCGACCATTAGTCAAACTCATGACAAAAGGCTCTTGGGCAATATTTCGTATTGAAGCAATCCTATATAGTTGTTTACTAAATGATAACGTGATTTTTACACACTTCATTCAACCCGCGACTCAATAAAATACACGGTCCGGAGCTTTTTTACGACCCGCGACTTTTTACCCGCGACATTTTACCCGCGACAATCTACCCGCGACTTTTTACCCGCGACCATTTGTCAAACTCGAACTCATATGCCACTACATCCGGGACCAGACGCTCGTATTTTCCATATTTCACGCTTGCTATAGTGACATATACGAAGTTCGAAAATTTCCCGCCATTTTCATTGTTGCTTTGAAAATACAAATGGGCTTTGGTTCGTACATAAATGAAATTAACGTTGGAAATGAAACGAAAACATTTAAAAGACATCTTGAGATAAGTAAAATTTATTCTAGTTTTATGTTTGCACTATTTAATATGAAAAATATCGCTTTGATACTGGTCTTTCACAGCTTCTATTTACATGTCGTCTTTGCGTGTATTTTGTCATTCTGAGTAAGGACATATAATGAACAGAACATTAAACGGTTGCGAGAAGATATGGATTTATGTTCTCGTGTCAAAAACGGTGTCTCACTCGTTCGCTGCGCTCGCTCGTGAGATATTGTTTTTGCCACTCGAACATAAAATCCATATCTCCTCGCTAATATCCTTTCTATATGGGCAAATTCTATATATATATATACACGCCATTTCCAAATTTCGATAGAATGCTCGTGCATCCTGCTAAGCTAAATTGTATAATGTTTCTGTAGCAAATTAGCCTCGAATTGGTGTGAGCGTAATTTGGAAATGGTTTATTTACTTCAAAGTGTATGTTACATGAAATTTCTTATTTTCTAAATGAAAGAACTCTTTAAAGCTGTAGTGTAAGTTATTTTTCAGTTTCTTGTTTTTGTGGTTTGTTCCCGAGATATTTCAATTTGTTTGATATGTACTTGAGTGTGAATATGTCCGCTAATTTATGACGTCACATTTGTTGCAAGCTCAACAAACACTGGTTATAAATCTATTAACTCTAAAAAATGTAGATATCAATTTACGTTTTTCTCCAGTGTTTCATTATATTTACCAGTGTGCGAAGTTTGAAATTATCATCTTGGATGATAGCAGTGATATTCAACCATTTTGAAGAGCTAGCAACCAATGTGACGTCACAAATTAGCGGTCATATTCACACTCACTTACATATCAAACATATTGAAATATCTCGGGAACAAACCATAAAAACAAGAAACTGAAAAATAAGTTTCACTACAGCATAAAGAGTTCTTTCATTCAAGAACACAAGAAATTTCGTGTCATATACACTTTAATGCACCTGTTGTGATGGTATAACGTAGAGTGCAAGTAGTAACGCCATATATATTTTTGTATATTTGAAGACGCTTCGTCCATCATTGAAGAAACTTGCAAAGGAAATCTTGTCCCTGCCTATTCAATCTGGCGAACATTCTTCGGTAAGCACATGCATATACACCCAACAATTCATCATAACCTACAGATAAAAGTCATATTAAAGTGCCTATGACACGAAATTTCGCCCCAAAGGTTTATAGTTGCATTGTAAAGGTCACTTAAAATGACTTAATAATTTCTTTTATACAATTTTGGTAACTTGCTCCCTTTTCAAGATATTCAACTTTGTTTCATATGCAAATATCACCGGTGTGACATCACATCACATAATGAGTTTTCAGAAAAGTATAGTTTTCTTGACGAATACGTATCTAAAAAACTTAAAACTTGCCCTTGTATATGTATTGATTTCATGACTTGTAATTAATCCTCTGTATTTGTTTGTAAAAATATTTTATCAACGTAAAATATTGCGTTTTCAAAATGTCATTATGCGATGTGATGTCACACCGGTGATATTTGCATATGAAACAAAGTTGAATATCTTGCAAAGGAAGCAAGTTACGAAAATTCTATAAAAGAAATTGCGAAGTCATTTTAAGTGATCTTTACAATGCAATCATAAACATTTGGGGTGAAATTTCGTGTCATAGGCACTTTAATGAAAATTATAGTGAACATTTAGTTCGTCCGGGAGCCACGATAGCTTGGCAACCTCGTGCCAGGCTTTCGCGCGGTTTTGGTAAGTACATTTATCGAATTGTGTTGAAGATATGATCGAATAAGCTCTAAAAATATCATGAGTGACTCTTTGATGTATACAAATTGTGTACAAAATAAACTTGAAATTGCGACTAATTTATGAAAAGAAAGCGTGCAGAAAGACTTTCGGCCCAAATGTGGTGCATTTTCCCACGTATAATACAAATTAATACAAAATTTGCAAAATGTGCAGGGCTATATTTTCCGCATTTTACAACATTTCGCGGCCAAACTTTGCAATTTTACTAATATCGACATCATATGCTCTTTCTATAGCTGCGGTGATGGATTTTGTTCTTCTTGCCTAAATAAAAAATTACTCTATAGCCGGAATTGCCTATTAATGAGAATCTTGTCAACTATTTCAAGTGCATGGGAATGTGCCCTAGTGTGCTCTATTTGTTATTTAACTCTTCCTACATAAAACCGCTTATTTTAGTCGCAAAATTGTCTTTATCTAAAAAACAAATCTGGTGACTTATCTTTTTTATTTCATATATCAAAGAGCATGATCCCCCGTATAGCCTCCTGCGCAGACGTTGTTAGTGGCCGAGGCCTCGCCTAACGTCTGTTCACATTCACCACACATTTGACTTTCCGGCAATTAACCATTTACAATCATCTACACGATAATTGGAAGATCGACCTTCAATGACCTTCACATGCATGGGCTATTATCAACAAGTAGTATTTTTAAATTTGAAAGTTTTAATACTGCGCATCGGAAAAAGGCTTTTCATTCTATTATAAACGAAAAGAAGGATGTTTTCGTAAATCTCACAACACTGGCGCAGGAAATAACTTATTTATCACGCCGTTACCGAAATACAGTGTGTCCCAAAAAAAAGGCTACCCTTTGAAGTCAAGCGCTAGTGCCGCATGTTCGAATTTGAATGCTTTAACTCCCTAACGAACCCTGGAATGCGTAAAACGTGTTATACATGTATATTCATGCATTCCATTCTGTGTTATTTTAGCGGAACAAATTTCAATTAATTTGCAATGCATGCATAAAAATCTCTGCTATAACGTTTTATGCATTCCAGGGCTCATTAGGGAGTTAAAGCATTCAAATTCGAACATGCGGCACTAACGCTTGACTTCAAAGGGTAGCCTGTTTTTTGGGACACACTGTAGTTAAACAAATTGTAAACATTGTATTAAAACATTTAGTATTAAATCGTGGTTTCACCATTGATAAATTCAATGCGAGATCAAGTAAAAAAAAACACAACTATACACGATCTAGGAGTCAGTTCTGTGTCATTAATATTAAGTTAAATGACTCGAATCGAGAACGACGAAGAAGCGAAGGCATTGGAAGAAGGGAACTATTCTGTATTATGTGGATTAGCAGAATGGTTTGTGCTTTTCCATTGGCTATTGATGCACGAAGCTCATATGATTAAAGAATGATATGTATTATAATAAATCCTAAAAATGTGTTCGCTTTTGTAATTCTCAAAGCCACAGGAATCGATCGGGCTTGGCCATTTTAATAGTCGTTAATATTTTATATTGTTTGTTACAGTCAATTGAATTTGTCTTTTTATACATTGCCTCGTATTATCTATTGGAGTATTGCATGTAATACTAGCATGCAAGTTTATATAAGCCTTTCAGTTATGAGGGGTTTACAGCAGAGGGTTGGTGTATGTATATTAACTAGAATGGCTCATAAACGTGCCAGTACTATACATGCAACACAGCACTAGATAATACAAGGCAACGTATAAAATAGATAATACAAGGCAACGTATAAAAGAAAAATTCAAGACAATATAAATTAACGACTATTATGTAAAATGCCAAAGAGTCAAATCCCTTTGAGAATTATAAAAGCGAACACATTTTTAGGATTTATTATAATACATACCATTCTTTAATCATATGAGCTTCATGCATCAATACGACAACAGCCAAAGGCAAAGCACAAATCATTCTGCTATAGCCATATAATACAGAATAGTCCCCTTCTTCCAATGATCGTGTAGGGTTTTTTACCTGATCTCGCATTGAATTTATCAATGGTGAAACCTTTACGAAAACATCCTTCTTTTCGTTTATAATAGAATGAAAAGCCTTTTTCTGATGCGCAGTATTAAAACTTTCAAATTAAAAAATACTAGACTTGTTGATATTAGCCCTCTGACAATAGCGTATGCATGTGAAGGTCATTGAAGGTCGATCTTCCAATTATCGTGTAGATGATTGTGATTGGTTAATTGCCGGGAAGTCAAATGTGTGGCGAATGTGAGCAGACATTAAGTGAGGCCTCGGCTACTAACAACGTCTGCGCAGGAGGCTAGATCCCCTGCAACCATTGAGCAAATTTAACAAAACTCCTTACAGTGCGATTTCTTTAAAAGCGAAAATTTTATAGCAAGATTTCCACTGTAAAGAATTTTTTAAAATTTGAAATATATAAAATTTACTAAATTTAAAATTTGTGGTCAAAATTTGAGGATAGGTTACCGATGAGTAAATAATAGTAATAATGAGTAAAATGCAACTCAAATTATAAGAAGCCCTCGTGTAACACGAGAAATTGCCCTTATACAAAAGCGTCGTTGGCTAGTAAAATAGTGTACGCGGGCGCAAGACGAGCTTTCATCCAGCAAAATCGAGTGGCAATGTTGTTTTTACTGTTTTGTTTTTGTCAACTTTTCGATTTATTTGAGTGTCATGGACAGCCAAGAATTATTGTATAGGATCAAATCGATGAAAGCACGAAACCTCTATAAGGTGGAAGTTAATTGAACCTTGCTGTTTACTTAATCTATGAGCTGTAACAGCCTAACAGGTGGACGTGTTTTTTTGTTCGCTTTTGTACTTTTTGCTAAGAATGAACAATTAGGCTATGACACTGTGATGATTTTCTGTTTACGTAGGCTATGTGCACACGGGCGTCGTTTTCGAGCGTTTTCAAAAACGTTTTTGTCCCTTTAATCGTTTTGACGCCCTGTTCACACGGTCCAAAGGAAAATATCTCCAATGTATTAAATAAACTACAACTTCTGTCGTAAGTTGATAGTGTTTGCATCCGTTGTAGCGTGAAAACACAAATGAAAACGCTCGAAAACTTTACAGTGTGCACGTAGTCATATAATCACTTTAATCTTGTAGAAACACGACTAAAAACGCGAACGTTTTCTTGAGAAGTAAACAACTTTTTAAACGTTTATTAAACGTTTGTGTACAATTTTGCAAATGTTTCATTGTTTACAGTGTTGTTTAAAAAAATTGAAAAACATTGTTTCGTAGCTATTTTTGGTCTAGTGATATTCGTATCATATGTAGCATTTCTGTATAGACTCGCAATTGATTTGGGACTCAAACGAAATATTATTATTCAACGCCTTTTTTCATTAGAAACCTTTCAGAAATAGCTTTCAAAAAAAGGCCCGGTCAATTTTTGTTTTGTTTTGATCGTGCGGTTGCGTGGGATAGGTCACGTAGTCGCTCCACGTGTTTTCCTATCGCGTGCGTGATATAAATTATCCTGCGGAAATGCGATGGTCGGAGAAACGGGATAATCGGGCGGCTGTTTTCACAGGCTAGGCATAAATATTAGGTCAGTGATTATCACTCTCGTCTGCGGCGCTTGCCGTTCTAGTCACAAATAATATAGTCACAAATCATTCATTATTTTAAATAGGAAACTTCTCTGCGAACGAGATGTCTATCCACCTAGCGGCAGGCGTGCCATAGGTTAGTAGTGTTATTGAAATATGTGCAAACATTTAAATTATCACTGCAATGAATACGCAGACACCTGTGGCTGCCACAATCACATTGAGAATGCAGTGGCAAGAGCTCAAAAATTCCCGACAATTCCTGAGACTATTCTGATTTGTTCTTTGACCACAAGTGAGGTAAAAAAAAATTAGAAATAATTTTGACAACAATTTAAACGAAATATTCTGATATTCTGGTACTATTTATCCCGCTCGACATTCGTGTGCGGGTTATTCTTCACACGCCTGCAATCAACTAATCGATGCTCCTCCCCCCTGAATTCACGTCAAGCGACTGGGGACGAGGGCGGGGCATTATATATCGCTCAATACAATCGCTCATGTGCAACCATCCGTATTTCGCAGACTTAATGTCTCTGGAAGAATTTGCTGTCGTGGCATCAGGCCTTAAAAGTCACTAGCTACTTGTTAGAAGAAGTTCAAAGTTGATCTATTGAGTATACCGATCTTGTATTAATCTTCTTATGTTATGAATAAATAAAAAAAATCGTCTCGTGCGTTTATGGTGTGATAATGCACTCCGGGAATGTTGGGACAATACTCAAGAAGCGTGTAAAACACGAGGCCACGCCTCGTGTTTTACACGCTCTCTCGTATTCTCCCAACATCCCCCGCGTGTATTATCACAT